GCAAGGATTTTGAAGCTTCACCTAACACGCTTTGGGCATGTTGCCAGGAGAGACCAATCCTTGGAAAGAAAGATTATGCTTAGAAGGGTGGAGGGACAACACAAGAGAGGAAGATCCTGGATAAGATGGATTGACTCAGTAACTGGGGAAATGTGGATAGGTGTGTCAGAAACAATGAGGTTTGTTGGCTTAAGGCTGAGCAGAGTTCAGAGTTGTTGTACATAGAGTCACTATGAGATGCAGGCAACTTGATGGCACATAACCATAACAACATTGGCAAGAATAGGAATCCTATAACACTTAATTGTTCCCATAAAAAACCAATGCATAGATCAAGAAGCAGACTTTTACTAGAGCAAAGAAATACTTCATGGTTTAAAATTAGAAAAGATTTGCACTGGTGTTGTCTTCATTCTCCATACATAATTCAATCAATAGGCTGAACAAATAGTCTGAAAAGCTGGACTATGTGAAGACAAATGTGACATAAATCTTGGAGAAAGGCTCATTAACAACCTACAATAAGCAGAGGGTTCAGCTTTGCTGAACACAAGGAAAATTTAAAGTACTTACTGATGAAACTCAAAGATATGTAGCCTTCAATAGTCTTCTCAACATTAAGAAATATAACTATCCTCTCAAATAAAGCCAATAAATAATATAGTAATAAGTGGAGAAAATATTAACGTTTTAAAGGAATCCATGGAAGCCACAGTCACGAAATGAAAAGACATAATACTTTGGCAAATCTGTTATAAAGGACCGGTTTAAAGGGCTAAAAAGCAAGAATGTAATTTTGAGAACTAGTGGGTGTCTGACTCAGGCCATGGTCCTTTCAGTTGCTCATACACACGAGAAATGTTAGTAGTGAATGAGGAAAACCAAAGAAGAATCAATGCCTTTTAATTTTGCTGTTGGCAAAACTACTGAATATACCATAGACTGTCAAAAGAACAAACAAATCTGACTTGGAAGAAGTGTAGCCAGAATGTTCCTTAGACATGAAGCTAATGAGACTTTGTTTCACATCCTTTAAGCTTACTCTTAGGAGAAACCAATCCCTGGAGGATCGAATGTGTGGCAAAGGAGAAGGTCAGTGGAAGAGAGGAAGCCCTTTACCGTGATGAACTGGAATGATGGCTGCCAATGGCACACTCAGGCACAGTGGCAATTGGGAAGATGGCACAAGGCAAAGCAGTGCTTCATTCGGATGGACAATGGGTTGCTACATACAACTGGGTAGTCAGAGCCAACTCACTGGCATCTAATAGCAACATCATCAGAATCATTAGTGTATACGCCTATGATTATTGCAGGTCTCAGTCTTGGAATTTGCCCCATTAATTTATTGGTGCCCAAATGAAGTGACCTTTGTACAACGTTGTTCTTTACAATCTTTTTTATAATAGTAAAAGTTTGGCAACACCCTTAGTGACCATAACGGGGGGCTCAACAGTTAAGTAACTTACAGTGTATTTACATAATAGAATGTCATAAGCAGTAGGAACAAGGAAGAAATTCTCCATGTGCTAAAATAGATCTCAGTTGTTGTTAAGCACCATTGAATTGCTCATGACTTATAGCAACCCTGTGTACAGTAGATATGAACTTTGCCTTATCCTGCATCATTCTCAGAAATCTCTGCTGTGCTCCAACCCATTGTTGGAGGTCATTCTCTCTATCTCTGACTTTTCTGAGCATTATGTCCTTTTCCAAGGACTAACCCTTTCCTTTGTTTCTAAGGAGCACCCTGGTTGATAGAGAAATCGTGCTTGAATTTAGAGAGTTGAAGCTATGGAAGTTGGAAGTGAGATTTTACCTGGAGAATACGTAGAACAAGCTTGAAAGATTATATCAGAGAGGATGTTGGGGAAAATGATGATGTATTGGGTAATTTAAACTAATCCAGGCCAAGGGTCCATAAAAGTGAAGTGAAAGATTATGGGAGAGCTAGTTATGGGAGGATGGCAGAGCAGAAGCTAAGAGAGCAGGGTCCCAGAACTAAAGATTGACAACGTTATTATAGACAAAGTTCAGATAAAGACGAAGACGAAGATAGAAGATAATTAGGGTTAGTCATCTGGAGGTTGTTGATAAACCCTTTCAGAGTCACCCTAGGGTGAGCTGGGGAGCCACACAATGTGGGCTATGTTGACTGGTGGAGAGGAGAGTCAAATACACTCTAGAAATTTGTCCACTAGAAAGAGAAGTAAATAGCATAAGAAACAAGGATGGAGAGTTGTTTGTTGTGACAGTTTTTGCTTTTAAAATAAAAGTGATTGAATATTTAAGGTTACATGCCTGTTGTCACTAATTTCTTTGGGTTAAAGTGGACCACTGTCTATTCTTGTGCTTTTGTGCCAGATCTGAAGAAAAAAACAAGTGCAACTGCATATGAAGCAAAAGTCCATGAGAAGCCAAAAGTGAAAGCAGACATAGAAGTCTTTGGTGAAAACAATATTGTTATCTGAAAATAAAAATGCCTCTTGCTCTTCTGTTTTAGGATTGCACTGCCTTCTTTAAACACTTTATCTCCATTGTTTTGAAAGATCACACTCTTTAGTTGCTACTTATTTTATGGAAAGATATTGATAGGTAATCAAAAGACAAATTGCACTGGGGAAGTCTGCTGTGAGGGACCTCTCCAAAGTAACAAAGAGCAGTGATGTCTGTCTAGAGATTAAGATGTGCCTGATCCGGACCATGGTCTTTGCAATTACTTGCTATGTATCAGAAAGGACAAAGAAGAGGATTATAAGAGAATTAATGCCTTTGAGCTATGGTGCGGAGAAGAGTAATGAATACACCATGGACTGCTAGGAGAATGAACAGTTTCGTCCTAGATGTGTGCAACCAGGCTGCTCCTTGGAGGCAAGGATTCTGAAGCTCAGCATAATCAGTCAGAACAAAGCCATGAGCTGACTGCAGAACAGACTATCAATTCCTCCTATGCAAGTCCAACTTGAAGGTGAGGAAAACAAAAGCAAGTTCAAAGTACGAACTTGAGTATATCCAAACTGACTTTAGAGACTATCTAAATATTTGATGCATTGAACATTAATGACAGTAAACTAGAGCGTGATATCCAGGACAACCTGCAGGAAGAAAGCAGAAACTTTTAAAAAGGAAATAAAGCTTCTGAAAGCCCACTGAAGAGTCAGCTATGAGTTGGTTCTGACTAGAAGGCACATAAAAGCAACAATGGTATAATGTGGAGGTTATGTAATGATTTCCTCATGATCCTGATAAATCAAGTAGTGGTAGGAGTACTCAGTGTGTGAACACAACTCTACTAATCCCATCACAAACCTAATTGGATGTAAAGGGAGTTCACATAGTGTGTGGCCTGTAACCTTGTGGCCTTTTTCTCTCACTAGAGACAGAGAGACAGAGGACATCAGTGCTACTCAAGAAATAATATGCAAGAGAGAAATGCATCTTTTTGTCCCTGGACAAAGGTCTTGGGCACCAGGGCAAGCCAGAACAGGGAGGTCTCCAGGCAGTGTCTGGCCTAAAGGTGTTGAAGGAAATGGAGACTTTTCTCCTTAACTGACACAGAGAGAAACTTCCCCTGGAGCTGGCACCCATGTGTAGACTTTTAGAATGTAACACTTTATGAGAAGAAATTTCTGTTCCAAGCCATCTACTTGTGGTATCTCTTTTTTAACAATATTAAATAACTAAGATAGTGTTAGTGGAGAATATTACAAATACCCCAATGTGTCAAAAGAACAAACAAATCTACCTTGGGAAAGCATAGCCAGAATGCTGTTGTTGTTATGTGCCGTCGAGTCGCTTGCGAATCATAGCGACCCTATGTGCAACAGCCCTAAACTCCGCTCTGTCCTGTGCCAATCGCACTGTCTCTGACACTCCCATCCCAATTATCCCAGTCACTGAATCAATCCACCTCATAGAGGG